AGTTTTTTGTCAACTTACTTCAAAAATTAATTACTATCCAATATTAAACAACAAAAAAATAACACATTGACAAACACTTGGTATAAACAAATTTTGTTATATATAAATGACACCTCTTACAAAAACCTAGACTCAATGTAATAAGGGGGAATTAGTGGGCCAAAAAAAAATTTTTACACAAATATAGAAGAGGGGTGTTGTAGCACTTTGAGAATTTTCCTCTTAACTCGAGCGATTTTTCGAATCCTCAAGTACTTTGGTTCGCAATTCAGGATTATGTAAGATTTTGATGTTTGCTCGAGCGGTAATTTGTTTGCTCGAGGGTCTGTTTCTTGTACAGTCTGAGATTCTGGAAGCATGAGTTCTACGCTCGAGCGAAAGTTTTACCGCTCGAGTAGTCTTCTGTCTTCGATGCTCGAACGATTGTTTCATCGCGTGAGCGATTTGTTCGGGATCAGTACTTCAAAAAATCACTTTTCTCTCACTCTTCTCTCTTATTTCTCTCTTATTTCCTCCATTTCTAAAAACCCTAAGCTTTCAAGTTTCGGTTTTATCTTCTTTCATTTAAAATCTCACCATAATTCCACATATCAAGACGTAGAGCACGGTGAGAGTTTTCTTTTAATCTAAGCGGATCGTGTTTTTGTTCAAATCAAATTTTTGGGTTTTCTTTTCTTCTTGCTTAAAGTGAGGATTTATTTGCTATTTCTCAATACCTTCATAGAGATAGATGGGTTGTATTTTTTTCTGTAACATAAAACATCATATTGGAAGAATTTTCTTGAAAAGAATGTAGAAGAAAGTTAGAGTTTTGAAATAAGGAAGCTAAACTTATGGTTTATAATAAATTATGGAAGTTTTGAGCCATTGGAATATTATATACTTTAAGGTAAAAATTCATAAATTTTATCCAAATCCTAATCTTTAACGTTATTCTAAAGATGAGGCTTGTTTTGATTGAAACTTAAATCACGAAATTGAGTTGATATTTAAAATAAATGGGTATGAATGTCGGTTGCTAGCTCTTGCGAGATTAATGATGGTGAAAATTAGTCCATTTCACAGAATTGTTAATTAGAATTGGCATAATAAACTATGAGAAGCGCATGATATTAAATGTGTTGATGTAACTTGAATAAAAGGGAGTTAATATTGAAGTATGGTAATGTTGTGAATAATCATATTCGTTTATCGAGATTAATTTATATTATTATAAGTGAACGTGTAGAGGTTTTGTTCTCAGCCATCGGTGGATGATAGTATTAGTTTAGCGTAGAATGAGTTATATGTGTAATGTGTTGTTGGCATAATTCTATAAATTGAAATTATGAATGATATGGGGAATTGATAGATTAAAATGCTGGAAAGAAGTCCATTTCCTTCTGACTTGTGACCGATAAAGCGTGTCGCTTGATAGAGGTTCTGCTTTCCTTTTAGAATAATGCTCGGTAATGCGTGTAAACTGTTGGGCTATATTTAGATTCCGCTTTCCTTTCGGTTAGCCATCAGTAAAGCGTAACGTTTGAGATAGGTTCTAGAATTTCTTTTGAAGTAGCGTCCAGTAAATTATGTTGGAATGGCTTAATGAAGCTAGCCATTAGTATGTTGGCGCTCATTGTTAGCCATGTAACTGTATTGTTATATGTGAACATGGTGATTTGTAGTTAGAGATTCAAAGTGTGCAATTGGAATATGTCTACAATGAATTGAATCTTGTCATTTAGGTATATAACACATGTCAGTGTGTGTGTGTGATTGGTGTCATGAGGATTATGGTAAGGTGACGGGTGGTAATGTGTATGATATGTGATTATGAGGAGTACATGATTAGTCGGTCTAAGATCTTTTTCTAAGGTAAAGGAGTTTTAATAAATTCTTTGAATCAATACTGATAAGATAAGAATATAACAAACAACTTTTCTTTGAAATGTCAAGTGGGATTTTGTGAAGAAAACATCTACCTATGTATTCTTTATTTTGGATATGAAAGAACACCTTATTTATCTACTTATCACTTGTTAACATTCATGGTCATATATATCTATTGATTTTATTGTCAAGAATCATTATAGGTCCTTACTGGACATATTTATTCATCCTATATTATTTAACCATTTTCAAGGATGGAGTCGGTTACGCCAGTTTGAAGATCAAGAAGTTATTTATTTCATTATGAATCATTCCTGTATAGATTGTAGATGAAAGATTAAAGTGTTGTTCGTCTATTATAAATATTTGTTTAGTAATCTTCAATGCATGCGCAAGGCCATGGGGCATGCATTGTTATTATATGTACTAAACATTTTATTACTATATTTATGCCAAAGAGAACCTTATTATATTCAACATGTTTTACTTCCAAAACTATAATTTGGAAATGAACTTTTATAAAGAAATTGGTAAGGTATCCGAGTATTAAAATTGGGGGCATAACAATCTTGATATCAGAGCTAATCGGGTTTTATAATCTTAAGCTTGTGGGAAGTGATTTTTATCACAATGAGTTTAACTTCGCTTGGTGAGGACGTTTTCATGTGATGGAATTAGATGTTAAGAGCTTATGTGTTACATTTATGTGAGTATGGGTTTAAGTTTCAAGGATAGTGCTTATAGCTGATTAACTGCTTTGAGATCTCGTTGGAAACACTTTTGATTAACGTGATTTATGGTGAGAGTTCGTAGAGAGTTATGGGACAAGCGTTCATCCTTGTAGACTTGTCTCAATTATGTGGCTAAGTGTTTAAGTTGTTTATGTGCTATGTGACTATATGCTGGGTATGTTTTGTAACTTAGTGGGGGTTGAGTAAGTGTCTCAAGAAAGGCTAAAATTTATTTTACTGAGCTTAGTTTATCTTTGACGAGATGTCAGGATGATGAAGTAGAGGTCGTGTTAGGACTAGGAGTGTCGGTAGGGACACAATGATAATACCTACACTTGCATCGGCTGTGGGTGAAGAGATTGCACATGAGATTGTGAGAGCTGTAAGTAAGGTTGTAGCTCGTAATATGGGGGACGACTCTCATGCCCTCAAAATTACTAAGGAGTTATTTTGTTTTAACCTACCGGAATCCACCAGAGTTCATAAGAGGGCCTGAGTCGCTGAAGGCAGAGGATTGGTTAGAGCAAATCACAAAAACTCTTGATATGCTCCGAGTCAATAATGAGGGGTTTAAAGTGGTATTAGCAAATTTCCTATTGAGAGGAGATGTTGGGTATTGGTGGTAATATGCGAGGACTACCATAAGCACCACTTGTTTAATATATTAATTGCCCTTGTAGTTCTGGTCACATAACATTTTCTAATCATATAACAAACCCTTTCATTAACTAACCATTAAGCTAATTAACAATTTTTTTATGATGTTAGCAAGATATTTCAATTAATAGTTCTAGTAATTTCAATGTTATATAAGATGATGGTTAGGAATTTTAATTTTTTTCGTTAACTCTGTTAAATGACAAATTATCACAATACGGTATTTGCAACCAAGGGGTGTATTTGTAATTTATCTTCGAAGGTAAATTTATTATTTATAATTTTTTTATTGATAAAGTTTATTTGGGGTTTGGAATTTTAATTTTTTTAGATTTAGCTATTTATAGACTAAAAATACTTTAAAATTTAAAATTTGTCATTATTAAAAATATTACAGACATAAAATTTTGGGAACAAATTTTACTTCTTTTAAAAAAATAAAATAAAAATAAAATTGGCAGCCAAGGGATTCTATTAAACAGAAACAAAACAATTAGATTATTTTTTGTATAGCTAAAAAGTTATTTGTTTTGGTCAAAATAGAATGACAGGCTTTAATGTTGCTATATGTTTGTAATTTTTTATTTTATCTTTCATTTTTTTTATTTATAATAAAGTAATATCCTAATTTTTTCTGATAGTAAGCCTAAGTAATATATGCAATGAAAATCTCATGAAACCCTAATTATTCACAACTAGTAACATACGCCAAAAGAAATTAATAGATAATTAGACAATATGACAATAATTAAGAAGAGAGGGAGAGCGAATGAAACCTGAAGACTCTTGCGATCAACTTCGTTCTCTTTAGCAAATAAATTGTTAAGAAGCAAATATTTGTTGATATTTTACTCTCACCATCTTGTGCTCCCATATTATCGACGAAAAGGAATGAGGAGAAGAAAAATCAATGAATACTCGGTATCTCTTTACACACGTATAATTGAAACAATCGAGTAAGAACTGGTTTAAGGGTGAATTTAAGAGATAAGAGAATAACAAGTGAAAAGTAATTTTTGACATTTACCAGTCGTATTAGTTATTTATAAGTGAATAATTGCCATATTTATCAAAAATGATATTAGAAAACATTTAAATCAAATACACAATATTTATTTTTAAAATTATAAATAATATAGTAAAAAGTTTGTACACATAAAATAAGAGGAAACGAAAATATTGGTGTCCCTTTTGTTATGGTTACATTTGGGAATATCTTATTTTAATTAGTTATTTAATTTCTTATAAAGAAACACATAAAAAAATAAAAAATTAATATAAAAAATTATTTTATTATCATAGCCTTTAAAAAAGTAGAAGTTGTGACCCAATTTGTTTATGAAAAATGTTTGAAGGTCCGAAATTAAGGCTCGAAACGTAAAACGACGTCGTTTTGCATTTCGATTTTTTTCTTTTTTTTTTTCTTCTTTTTTCTTCCTTTTCTTTCTTTCTTTCTTCTTCTTCTTCTTCTTCTTCTTCGTTTGAATACAGGCGAGAGAGAAACAGAGGCGAGAGGCGAGAGAGAGAGTCGTCGTCGTTGTCGTCGCAGCTCGTCGGCCGATCGTTGCAGATCGTCGCTCGTCGCATCGCAGCCCCGCCTCTGCCTCTGCCTCCGCCCGCCTCCAGCTCTATTTTTATGGCCCCCTCCAGTTCTGCTTCTCTTTCTTCTTCTTCCTCCTCCTTTCTTCTCAAATTCGAGGCAAATTTGAGCCCCGTTTTTCGGGCTCGGTACCGGGGCTGTTTATTTATATGTTTTCAGTGCAAAAAGAAAAATACACAAAATAAAAAAGTATTTAGAAAAATACAGTCGCCCCCTCTCTCACTCAGTAGCCATGTCCATGGACAAAGGCACCTTCGAAGCTCTGGTTCCTTCTCGTTTCATCACCTTCACATTCCCTAACCCCTCTCACTCCACCACCACCACCGCCACTCACTACCACCTTCACACCCAACTCCTCCGAGTCGCTGTCCTTGACTCACCCAATCAACCCACCACCACCAACCCACCTCGAATCGCCGCCATGATCGTCCCAACCCACCGTGAAACCGACTGGATCTTCTCCACCGACACGGGCCACCTCCAACTCATCCTCAACTCCGACGAAATCTCCCGCCTCATCCTCATCGGAAACCTCCCTATCGATTCTCACCCCACAATCTACACTCGTCCAATCTCAATCGACCCAACTCTCCAATCAAAACTCGCAGAGAGCTTAACCCCTTTATTACTCGCTCTGTCTCCGAAATCGGCTTTCAAGTATGGTTTGCCCGAAATTCCATTTTTGGGTTACGAAGACGATGTGATTAGGAGTGTGATTGTGGAGAGATGTGTTGGGGACTGTGTTGGTGAAATGTTGATCGAGGATGTTGAATTGGAGGGTAAGCGAGAGTTTCAGAGGAGATTGAGATTTAAGAGAATGCCCAATTTGATTCAGACCCAGATACGTATTATCCCCAATGCAAGTTTGGATTCTGTGAATTTAGGTGATGTAGAATTTGGGCTAGACATGGCGAGTTTGGTTCATCCTTATTTGACTCCAATGGTGGCGAGTCTTTCGTTGATCGGTTCGTATTTGGAAGAGAGAATTCGAGGTGGGTTTAGGCCGAAAGCATTGTGTTTGGGAGTTGGAGGCGGAGCTTTACTTACATTCTTGAATAACCAATTGGGTTTTGAGGTCACAGGGTTGGAGGCAGACGAGATTGTTTTAAATATTGCAAAGAAGCATTTTGGATTACAAGATAGTAAATATGTTCGCTTTTGTGTTGGAGATGGAATTGAATTTGTAGAGAAACTTGCAGGCCAATATCGAAAACCCAATTGTGATTGTGTAGATAATGGTTGTTGTTTAGACAATGTTGACTGTTTGGATGCTAAATTTGATGTGATTATGGTTGATTTGGATTCAAGTGATGCTGGAATGGGTATAATGGCGCCACCGCTGGAGTTTGTTGGGAAGTCTGTTCTTCTTGCTGCTAGATTGGTTCTTTCTGAGCATGGAATTCTTGTTATCAATGTGATTCCTCCAAGCAGGTCATTCTATGAGACATTGATACATAAGTTCCAGGAGTTTTTTGAGGAATTGTACGAAATAGATGTTGGAAATGGAGAGAATTTTGTACTTATTGCCACTGCATTACCAATTGGAACTGCTTCAATTGACTATGAGAATTCTTTTCTATCAAAGTTGAAACTGGTTATTTCAGGAGCCTATTTGGATTCCGTGAGGAAAATTTGAAAGTTAGGCAGTGGTATGTTGACAAACTTGCTCTCTAACTCTTTGAAGGGTTCAAGGCTGAGGAATCTTCAAGTAATGGCTAACAATCGTAATCAGTACTTTTCCTTGTCCCCTACATCTTTATAAACCCTCTTTATCTCACTCTAGAATTCCCACTAGTCACTTATCTATATTCCACAACCTGACCTGAACCCAAAGTACAAACCCAATAACCGTATAGGATTGCAGAATACAAGACACACACTCAACACCCAACGACCTATGCTAAGAGTACTGGTCCTTATCTGGTAATTTTCGCGCAGGTGTTGAATGTTTGAGCTTTCCCTTACATCATTTGAAGTTATTTGGTAGTTATGGCACAGAACGAAATTGTTGACATAAATTGTGGTAAGGAGTTTGAAGGCATTGCAATTATCTGAAACTCTTCGAGGGTTGCTGGGAATTTTGATCTTCATTTTGTTTTGTTTTTTTGACTGCATCTTATGTCATATACTTTTGCGGTGCTTTGTGCAATAAGATATACCATACGAGGCATCACGAATTTCTGAATTTGCATTAAGTAATTTACATCAGCATAAATCAGTTTCTGTTACTCTTATGAAGCTCGAGTTAATTTATCTCGTAAATGAATAAAAGAATCCTAAAATTGAAGATCTCCTTGTTGGCGATGTAAAGGGAATTTGGTTGTGCTTTTCAAATTTAACATCATATGGCATTGTGTTAAATGCCAAGCTGGTTTTAAATAATGGCCATGACATAATACATCTGTTGTTAGATAATGGGTTCTTGAAGGCCAGTAATGCATCAGTTATTTTATTCTCAGTGTGTTTTCTACACTTTTATTCCCACAACTGTCCCTAATTAGAAATGAGATTACACACTCAGTATCTTTAACATTGTGACTCTCTCTCCAGAAGTCTGCATACCCTTGTGCACAAACCCACCGAGCCAGTCAATCATGCTAAATTTCACTGACCACCTTTCAGTGATTACCCTTTTTAGAAGAAAAATGCTCTGACCCTGAATGTTACACCGTTTACAGCCCTTCATATGGCACTTTTCTTTTTTGGCATCTAACAAATAAGCAAATCTAAACAGAATGGCTAAGTTTGTCTTTTCTATTATGGCACTTTTCTCTGATGATCAACCCCTTTACAAGCTAAGTTTGTCTTTTTTCTTATATCACATACTTCTTTTTCTGTCCATTCATATTGGCTTCTTCAATCATGAATGGCTACATAATCCCAACAAACATAATCTGACAGACAGATCAAATCTTTTACTGACATAGCCATTGTAATTATTTTATTTTATTTTATTTTATAGAATAGGCATTGTAAATTGGATGCCAAAAAAGTCATTCCAATTGGTTCGATTCTTCATAAACTGATGCATGAGTCTTGCATCGTATCATTGTGCTTCATTTATATTAAAGTGCAATGGATCTAAAGATTTCACATATGTCTAACACTATGAGAAAATGCTGTTCAATTCTTCATATCATTTCATAAAACATGTTCCATGATGTCCCATTTCATGATTAGGTTTGTCATGCATTTGTTGCATCCTTCAAATATCTGTTTCCCATTATCTGAATTAATTTAATGAATCCTTAGATTAAAATTTTCATTCCATATTTTGTGCATAAAGATTAGGTCTTATATGTGGAATATAATATAGGTATATTTATTTGAATTTGTTGTACTTTTTTTGTCCATATCAACTTACTGTTGGATAAAACTAATTCTTCGTTAAGAAGTTTGTTTTCTTTCATTTGGTGAATCCAATAAGTGAATCAACTTATTACTCTACTGTGACACCAGGGGGCGTGCGTTACCTTTCTCTTATTAAATTTGATTTTCTTGTTGTTAACTTCTTGTTCTTGGCTCGGTTGACTTCTCTTTTCTGCCTTGAAGATATTCACAATCTTTTCTTCCCTTAATTTCTTTGGGGGATATTATGATTCATGCCTCAAATTATGTAGATTTTTTGAATGATTAGAGTCGATGAATTTATCCGAAGAGCAGTGTCCTTGCTCCTTGGTTCTACATGATGATCTTTTGAAAAATTGATGCAAGTTTACTATGTCATTTACATGGAGTTGTTTTCATAGCTCTTTGAAACATTACTAACAAATGATTTTGCTAATCTCAGTATTGGCGTCCATTCCATGGCGTCTCTATCAATTTTCAATATCTTAGCATCTGTTTCCACCTTCCATCAGTAAAATCCCAATCTGTCTTGCAAAAACATGTCTCTCATTTGATTCCTTATCAATAGAGCTTAAATTATCCAGATTTTCATAAAGTAGAAATAATTCACTCAAAAGAGCATTTGCATATTAGAGTGCCTTGCAAAGTGCTTTTTTTTTTTCCCCCCCTCTTCTTTTTATTTTGCTGTAGAACAGCATCTTTAGAGGCCTTTTATCAAGGAGAGGAAAGAACATCTTCGCTAACTAGTATTTCATAATATTCTTCCTTTCTTTCACTTCATTGTGTAGTTGCTAAAGCAGTCTTTTTTTGGTTGTAGCTTTGGGAGTTGATTTTCTACATTTTTGGAACTTATTGGGTTGTGCTTGGGGTGATTGCTGTTGATTTGATTCAATGCATGGTTGAAGGCAATCTTAGTGCACAAGGCTTCCTCTACTACGGGGTTTGGTATACGCATTCATACCGATCAGATCACAATTGAGCAACTTATTGCGATGCTAAGGCGAGGAAAAGTTATCGGCACATGTAAAGTGTTTGTCGAGTGGGGAGTAGATGCACTTGTGAGGATATTGATATATGCCAATTCACATAGTCAATTGTATGCTCAACATCTAATGGGTCGTTAGGCACACCAAATATAAATACTAAATTATACCAAATTGTTTTAGAATAATGGCAAGTTCAGGTATCGATCCGCAGGGACAAACGAAAAATTAAACTAATTTAATTGCTAAATCCCTAAATTAATTTTGATTAAAAAGATTGATGGAAATTATGACTAAACAAGAATTAAATGAAATTGAATAATTAAATTGAGAATTAAAATTAGAGTTTGAGATATTAATTTTTGGGAAAAATCCTACACCAAAGAATTCCCTACTAAACACATAAAATGAGATTTAACATCGATTATCTATTGCAATCTGGTTTGAAATATCAAATATTTCACAAGTATAAGTTTAAAATATTGATCAAGAGGGTTGTTGCATTCAACGTACAGGTACGAATCATCCCGAGTAGCACGAGGCGTATGCTCTAAAATATGCTAGCAACACGACCTGCCTCTCATGGCATGACTCGTCTCGTACTTTGAACACAAACACAAATATAACTAATGTATAGAAAGTATTAAACAATTACAAAGAGTAAAATACTTGAAGAGATGAAAAGAATAATCATTATAAACTTCTAAAACATCCATACATTTATTCAAATCGTTTCACAATCAAAGCTTAACAAAAATCTCTTTACATGGTTAAGGTTTCATCAAAATCCTAGAAAAGAAGAGCCTAGCCACTTATAGAGGAGTGAGAAGAGGTGGAAGCCCTCATGGAAGGTGTCTTTCAAGCTTGAGGAAAAATTACACTTTTCAAACCCTAGTCTCCATTTTCCTTCAAATAATTTTCGAACCTTATTTCCACATATCTTCTGTCGTTTTATCCTTTGGTTGTCTTTTTAACAAGTTCAAAATAGCGGCACAAAATTCGAGGTACAACCGCACGTGTGGGAGTGGTCACCGCACGTGTGGGAAGGGGTGTCGCACGTACAGGAAACTAAGGCTCTGTTTGGCTACGAGGTAAAGGCTGCACGTGCGGGAATGGGCCTTCGCACGTACGAGAATGAATTTTCTACTCATTTCATGCTCTTACTATGTACAAACTTGATTGACATTAAACATACATAAAATGTATAGTTTGCCAAACAAGTAAAGTTAAGAGATCCTAATTAACGGTCTTAATGTTACACAATTCGACTTTAATCACATCCCTCAACTTACAACTTGCTAGTCCTCAAGCAAGGAAAAACAAAGAAAGAAAAATAAACTTAAAAAAAATTTAACTATCTCCTCTTTCATGGGAAGAACGGTTGCATTTAGCATATGTAACAAGCCTTTAAACCACAAAGTTATCCTAAGTGGGTGAGTAAAGTCTCGTGAAGGTTTTCAAAAATGATACACACAAACATTAACATATTCATATCTATCCAACAACAATCAATCACACTACACCACTCAATAATTAACTTATGTGCCACTACAGTGCAATATTAAGACATGATGAGTCGTTGAAGACACAGTAAACAAGTATGAAGGAATCTATTAAGTAAAGACCGTAATTCAGTATTACACAATTCAAGTTCTATTTACTTGTAAATGTTAGTAGAACACATCATTAATAACTTCAGTGTAACGTGCAATTTCCATAACTAGTTAACTGAACCACTATAATAGCCCAGTGTAACTCATAATAACTCCCAACATATACTGACAAGATTAAACTTTTATAACCAGGACTCTCAAAATGTTTATTTTTTTTGAAAGACTGTGCAATGTCTTGATCCATTAAGCTTTGTAATCACTCCTTGTTGTAAGCATTGGGCCAATGACTCCCAAATCAGACGGTTTTAGGGCACTAGGTGTGAAGACACCCCTACGGGCTTAATAACTCGAGTTGAAAATGTTTTAAATCCGAACAAGTTTTTTTCCTTATTTTCCTTAACTGTGCAATGTTTAGGTCCCTTAAGTTTTCTCATTAACCCATGTAGCAAGTATTGGGCCAATGACTCCAAAACCAGACGGTTTTAGGGCACTAGGTGTGAAGATACCCCTACGGGCTTAATAGCTCAAGTTAAAAAGGCTACGAATCTAAACAAGTCTATTGTTTGTTTTTTATTTTTTATTTTGAGAATCAAGGCTAGTCATTTATTCTTTTCTGCAACACTCGCAATTATCAATGATGTACATCAGAGATTATAATAGATAGGTCACCGTTATGATAATGTGTTCATGTGAATCAATGCATACTTATGATATGTGTACTAATACCACAACCACAAACAATTATCCTAATACAAACATCACATGAGAGTGTTTACCTAATAAACCGTTTTCATACAAGTCTACTATGCTCCCCAAGTAACATATGCAAATATCATCACCTTATTAGCAACAAGTTGACATTAAGTGGACATCAAGTGAAGTAGTGCAATCAAGTGAAACAGGTATAAGCATGAATTATGAGCCAAATAGAAATGCATGAAAGAAAATACGCTCATTCCCCAACTTGAATATGACATTGTCCTCAATGGAAGCAAATGCTAAGTAAATAGGAAAGAGAGAATAGTACCAGATATTGTAGGTGCACATCTAGGTAGGCAAATAGTAACACACACACACACACACACACACACACACTTTTTTTTTTTTTTAAAGAAAGAAAAACAACTAAAAGGACAATATAAAACTAAAAGAGACAAAGAAAAAGATAATCGGGTATCATGGAGAATCCGGTGGTGGCGGTGGGGGGGAAATGCTGGGCAAACAAGGTGTTCATCAATGACCGCGTCTCGAATGCTTCGTCCTGAACCCGAGCGCCGAGCTGGTCAAAACGTTGCTAGTATGTATAAAAGTTAGTTTGCAGTGATGCAACTGACTGTTGAATGTTGAGCTGGCGAGCGTTGAGCTGGTCGAAAGCTGCTTGAGAATAGTCCCGATGCACCTGAAATCTGTGCGCAACACCATGAGGACCTGGTGGTGATCGTGAAGAGTACTGTGGACCTGATCCACAGAGTACTGAAGTTGTAAGTACTTCTTGCGAGTCATGTATAATAGGTCCCCTTGGAGTGACACAGGGGAGGCAGGAAGAGGTGGTTGGTCGTGGACGAGGTCTTGGGCCTCATTAATCGGGGCACCAACTTGTTGCGAGATGCGAGATACGCTATGCTGCCATTCCCTTTGCCCGAAAGTCGGATAAGCTATGTCAATCTTCTCAATCGGATCAATTGGGAGGTCGTTCAGCTCGAAGACAAGTGTGAGCAAGTTGGCAAATGGCAAGGGCCAATTCAGGTTTTGCATAGGTTGAGGCTGAACGGCCTCTTGCAGAAATTTGCGCATATGCATCCAGATGAGTGCTCAAGCTGGATCTGATAGCCATACTGATAACCATGTAAGACTCGAACAAACTCCATGCGGCGCTCAGTTTTATGCCCAAGTGGAAAGGCATTCTTATGTATCACGGAGTCGATGAATAACAAGCGGCCAGGTAGCTTGCTCTGGCGCAAGCACATGTAACTTGTGTCACTGTGGGCCCTTGGGAAATACTCTTGGATTAGGCTATGTATCGGTTGTCGGCCCTCAACTTCCGAGAAGGGCCGGTGATCTGCCTTGGAAAAGAACCCTAGCACTTGGGCAATTATGGATTTTGTGATGCTAACAAGGTGGCTATCAATAGTGGACTGCAGTGCTACCTCAGTGAGTGACTCGTACATGTTTTAGTAGAAGAGCTGTACTAGACGAGAATAAGTTGGCGCTGTAACAGTGCAAAGGCCCAATTGTTGCTGGAGACGAAGTTGCTTAACGGCCTAAGAGGTGACTGGGTCATTCTAAAAATAGTTGAGCTTGTGAAGCGGGCGTGAATCCCACTCCGATGTGACAACTCAACCGGTGGCGGCGGCGAGGATGGTGGTGACAGCAGCGGCAGTGGTGCCGAGGAGGACGAACCTCTGGCCTTTTTGGAGGCCCTGGTGGATAGCTGTCTACTCATATCCTACACACACCAAAAGCAAATACACACCAAAAGCAAATACACACATACCCGTGGAACCAGCATGAGAATAAAGTAAGATATTAAAGCACAAGTCTGCCCACTGATGTACCACATGCAATTCTTATCAATTTTTTTTTGTTTTTTTTGTAATAAATGAAACCTAAAATAAAATAAACTAATCTAGACACATTAACATTTTATGTAAATATTGAATGATTAAACAAATAAAAATGAACTACACTAACATAAAATAATGAGATAGTAATAAAAAAAATAAACAACTAAATAAATAAGTAGACAACCTAGGAAATAAAATGAATTAGAAAATAAACAAACAACAATTAGCATTTTTTTTTTTTTTGGGTTTGATGCACGTGCCACGTGCGCCGGATTGGGCCACACGTGCGGCTGTCATCTTCTTGCTGCCCAGATTTTTTTTTTTTTTTTTAAAAGGATGAACAATAGATCACTATAAAACTAAATCTCACTACAAGGGAAGATTGAAAGAAGAAATATAAAGTTTAAACAAAAAGGAAGGATTTACCTTTAAATAGTGAAGAAAGAGAGAGAAAAAAGGGAGATTTGCCAGAAAAAATGGTGGTCGTCGGAGATTCGATGGACGGAGAGGAAATAGGGTGCCGGCGGTGAGGCTCCGATGGTAGAGTGGTGGTGAGAAGAGTTTGAGTGAAGGTTGGTGATGGTGGAAAAAAAAATGAAGAAAGTTGATGGTGGTGGTGGGGTTTGAGTGAAAGAGAAAAGAGAGGGAGAAGATGTGTGTGTGTGTGTGTGTGTGTGTGTGTGAGAGAGAGAGAGAGAGAGAGCGAGCGAGAGAATATGAAAGTAGAGGGAGAGTGTATCTGTGAGAGTGATGGGAGTGGGTTAGGATTTTGTTGAAATCAATTTTTTTTTTCAAAAATGAAAAAAAAATGAAATAAATAATAAAATAAAATAAAATAAATAGAACAATGAAATCTGAATTTTTTTTTTTGATTTTTTTGATTTTTGATTTTTTTGATTTTATTTATTTATTATTATTATTTTCATTTCGCACCATGGCATGCACCTGCATATAAAGCAGGCGACGAATTGCTTAAGGAAATTTCCCGTACG